GGCTCGGCTGCGTGGCCTGCTGATTCAGATCTTGTCGCTGCCGTGCTGAAATCTGCGTCCCTTAGAGGACGTCGCGTGCCACCATGCCAGCTCAGCAGAAGAAAATTATCTTTTGCGTGGCCGGGGTGCTGAGCTTTGCCTGCGCGCTGGGGACCGCGGCAGCCGTGGGCACGCAGCTGTGGGTGAAGGGGACGATACTCTGCAAGACGGGAGCCCTGCTCGTCAACGCCACCGGCCAGGAGCTGGAGAAGTTCATTGGCAAAATCCAGTACGGGCTTTTCTACGGCGAGCGCGTGCGGCAGTGCGGGCTCGGGGGGAGACCTTTCCAGTTTTCATGTGAGTAACAATGGCATTTGAATTATTTAGCACCGCGCTGCCGCCGGCTCGGGGAGCCAGGGGATAGCCGTCCCCGCGGCCCCTCGCTCACAGGCAGAGCCCAACAAGCATGAAATATCCTAAAGCAAATGCTGCCGTTCCTGTGCTCTGATCTTCAGGTTCAAATGGCCTCTGTTCTGGTACTAGGAAAGCCAGGATCGCGTTTCCAACAGTCTGTATTTCAATTACACAGACATCTACGTTTCAAAAGATTTATACTGTTACTTTAAAAAAAGAATATTTTTGGTTTTCAATTAATCTCTGTCATCTTCCTCTGTGTGTGTGTCAACATTATGGCCTCTGTTCCATCGTGAAAGAATGAACTAAACTAGCAGAAATCTCATGAAAGGGCTGGGGCATAGATGCATTTGGCTGCTGTTGAGAAACGAAACAGCCAAAAAGTTAGCAACCTGCTGCATTCATGGGAAAACGGCGGGCTGATGGTCGCTGACAGTGTGTCGGCTGATCTACAAACCAAACTCGGTAACTGACATACAGAATTTTGTCAAAAACTCTTAGCAATGGTTTTGCTTTACATGTAATATTCATCACCTATTTATCTTCAAGGATAAGGAGATCAATAAAATGATGAAGTGAACACAGAGTTTGTATATAGCAGCCCATTAAGCAGCTAATAGCAAACAGCCGTTTGTTATATGTGCAATATGTCACCCGAAGGGATTACAAAACACAGTTCGGAAGCATTCTGCTGAAAGAGCGCTGGTGAATTGCGTACACGAGTCATTTTAGGTGAGGCAAGGTTACCAGATTAGGAATCAGAAATTATTTACTACATAACTCTTTTCCGAAGTAGTAGATTGAATTAATTTAATATCATATTAGTATTTGCCATCTCTGATTAAATTCCGTGGCTAGCCTACTGGTACAGCTGAAGGTCTCCTCGGTTGCTTTGTGTGCTCTCACAGCGTGGGATACCCCACTCTGCCGGTTATAGGACTGGGTCAATTTTCAGAGGGGTCTCCTAAATCCCACGGAATTTGTTTTCTGCTGTAGGTGACATTGTTATGAGCCACCGCTGACACAGGCGCTGGCGATGGGCAGCGCTGAGACTGCCGTTTGTCCGGGCTCGTTGCAGTGGCGGAGCTGTGCGGCACAGCTACACTCGGTAACACGCGGACAAGACGCAGCAGGACTAAGCCCAGCCACGACAGACAGCCCCCGCACCAGGGGCGGCCCGTTGGCTCCTGGTTCTAAGCATTTTCCTTTCACAGATTTGTTACTTAGATACTTTTAAACCATTTCATTGATGTCCCCTGCAGTCAGGCTCCCATCTCTACATTTCACCTTGTTATGGCTGAAATATTTTGATATACTGCTAGTCTGATTGTAGCAATAGTTAGAAAAGAATTTTAATTTTGTGGGTGGTGTGAATTAGTGTTACAGGTACAAGAGAGAATACAAACACATCCCTTGTTTGTGATGGTTTAATAATAGCAACCACTAGATATTTTTAAATATCTCGCAATGCTACATAGAGGTAAGCTCTGATCTGTGCGGTGCTGCAGAGAATTTCCAACCCAAAGCACACCAGGGTGAAAGGAGTTTACTCTTCCTCCGGCCATACACTTTCTATCCGTGCTCTTGGGAATCTCACGCAACAGAGCTTTCCTATGCAAATGTTTACCAAACTTGCGTTTGTAAGTGTTATTTCAATGGAGCACATAAACACAAATATAACCAAGGAACAGAAATAATACCATGTGAAGTTTTTATTTAGTCCCAGCTAAGCAACCCACTTTGGAATGGTCAAAAACCCAAAACCTGAGTGTTCACATGCAGAATCCTACTGCACAGCACAATATTAAAAATTAATTTCTTTAATTTGAGTGTCTAATGTGCACACCCAGAGAACGCCAAGGCTTTCAGGAGTTGCATGAGGAAGAAAACGTTGAACAAGTAATTCACTCAACATCAGTAAATATCACTGTTCTCATTTTCAGACAGAGAAAATGAGGTTCGAAATGTGCTTTAAATCTGAAATCCAGGCTGGATGCCATCTTATGCCCGAGACTCCTCGGGTGTCACAGGATGGAGCAGCATCCCTCCCCGAGAGCAGCCCCCGTGCCCGCGGTCCTGCCCCCGGCCCTCCATCGCGGCAGGTCCCACATGCCGCAGCAGAGCTGAGGTGTCGGGGTGGGAAACGCAACCCCGGCGCTTGGCCCGCCTGGCAGAGCCTGCGGCTACCCTGCGCCCTCCTTCCCTGCAACCCTGCCTCAGTAGTGACAGGCTTCAACGTGTCTCGCTCACACTATCGCACATCCGCGGGAAGTCTCATTGACCCGCACTGCCGTCCTTGATGCGGCACTCCGAAGGGGTGACGCTACGAGGTGGTCTTTGGCACTGGGAACACCCGCAGCGCGGCCCCGTCACAGCCTGAATAACCCCACAAGCCCCGTGGCAGGGATCAGGGCTGTCTGCAGGGCGGGCTCTGCCTCCTGGGCTTTCACCAGCAGCCGGTGGTGGAAGCGTTGATGTCTTCCTTGCAAATTGCTCTCAGATCATCTTTTATTTAGGTTAAAAGTCAAACACAACACTTACTTTAAGAGGCTTTATATTTTGAAAAAATGGTTGGGTGGCTTAGCAAGGTGTGCCTCTCCTAGAAGCGGTCCCCTCAGGAAGGGGCTGGCTGACGTCCTCTGGGGCTGCAGCAGACCCGTCCCACGGGGGTCAGCGCTCTCGGGAGCTCACAGGTAACCTATACAAGGGACACATCCATAGGTTAACGCACTGAAGTGCGCTTGAGCTTGTCTGAGAAGAAAAGGCACGGAAAATAGGCTAAATGATTTAGTTCTATGTTTGTTCCCATTAAGTGCTCCCCTCTGACCACTATATCTCTTTTAATTGTAAAATGAATTTGCTCTGCCAGCAAACCCGGCTGGGCTGGGGAAAGCCTTCTGCCTCATTTGCTCTTGCTGATTCTCATCAGCTTCTGGGTCAGCAGTTCATTTTCTAAAGGTCGCTGGCATGCATACCTAACACACCATTTCATTCATTACAATGAGGGAATGTTTTCCTTTCAAGACAACATAGCTGCTGGAATTAATTTTTCCTGATATGTCACATATAAAATTTTAATGACATGAACCACTGTAAATGCAGGTGCCAAGGGAAAGATTCAATACAATGCAGTAATATGTTTTCTTAAAATAAACATTACAAAACCGTATTATTAAAGACAGTTTTGTGCATTCTCCCGAAAGATCAGCGGGTGTTGCAGGAACTAACGCTATTCCTTGTACGAGTGCTGCACAGGTCGGGACTCCACAGCGCTCGTTGGCGAGCCTGAACCGTGCAATGGTGAAACTGTACTTCATACCACGCTAACAGTGCGACTGCTTCTCATGCTTGTAAACACATTAAACATACAATATAAAGTCCAACAAACACAAGGTCCAGTTTCTAAGGTACGCTTTGTGTTATACTGGGATGATACAAGGAATTTAGGCATCAGTGGCACAACTGGACAGTAAGTGGCCATCAGCAGAAGTAACCTTTTGCACAGGCAAATTCCTCCTTTAGGTAAACAGGTAAATTTAGCAAACGGGTGGTTTTGCCGGGGCAGCACCTGTACATGCCGGGGCAGTGAGCAGCCGTGTTCCCAGTCTGGACCCGGCAGCCCCGAGCCCCCTGCACGCAGGACCCGCACCGGCGGGGATGCTCCCGGGAAGGGTTCGGGGGAGCAGAGCCCTGGGCCGGTGCTGTCCCCGGGGCAGGCGGCTCCCCCGGTACCGGTGGCAGGCATGGCTCGGGGAGCGTCACTGATGGGGGGCGCAGGGCTCCGCGTGCCCCTGGGCCTGGTGAGGGTCCCCCTCTGTGCTCCCAGCCAGCCATCAGCAACGCTAAAGGTGACGTTTATTAACAGAGCTTCAAGAATAGTTTGCAAACATTTGCTTCATTAATTTCCCGTTCATCTAGTCTGGGAGATAAATTGCCTTGACGCCACGTTACGTGCTCCTGTGTTTGCTGCATGGCAAGCTGCAGCACGGGTTGCCGGTAAACATTTTACAAGGCAGAGTAATTTATGTGAGGCTTTTTTACTCTCTGCATGTTACAGCTGCGGCGAGGCAGCGCCGGGGCGTTATTACCCCCACTTTAATCGTGCCCCTGTGGATCAGGAGCAGTTAAGTGTGTTTGATGATTCCTTCTGAAACACCCGTTGTTGCCAAACAAACATGAATGATTAAAAATTATTCTCTCGTACCGAGACTGATTGACTATCCCCTTGTGCCTTAGCTAAGGAGGATCACAGTCTGAAATAGTAGCTAAAAAACTGCATAGAAATATCTAAAGTAAAGTATTCCTAATTTTTTTGCATAGGCAGTGACCCCGGCCGTCGCACGGCTGGAACTCAGCACAGCCTTCAGCCCATCAGACAGAGCCTCGTCAGGCAGCAGTCATTAACGAAGCACAAAAGCGGACACGCCATTCAGCCACCGCTTCCCACCGCGGTGGTCCCAACCTGCACCCCGGGGCCTCCTGGGGCCAGCGGTGTCATGCCAAAGGCAGTGGGGGCGAAAGTTTCCAGCTTTGGGAAACTTGAAATTATATAGCACGTGGTGACAGTGTTCCATGAAGAGCGTGACACGCGCAGCGCTCGCACCTCCCGAGCAACAGCCTTCCCACTCCCAACGCCACGGAGCGGAGCGCTGCCGCAAACAGCCGCACTGCGCCCGCGCGTTGTGCGCGCCCTCTCGTTTCAGCTCGGTGCCCCACTTCGTTATTGCCAGATTTCTCCAGCTCCTCTCATTGACTTATCATCTCCCCTTTTGGCCTTGGGCTTCCTGACACAAAACATTCCACAAGTGTTTTGCTTGGGGAAACACAGGGGAGAATTTAGATCATATAAAATTCGCTTATTCTTTCAAAATTTCATTCAAAGAGTTTGTTGCAAATAACTCTGATGTAACTTTTATGAATTTCTCCCTCTTTAGTATCATATTTCATTTTGAAAATAAGAGATTAATGTATGTACAGAAATATATCCCTTTTCCATTTGCAAGGATTTTTATCAAAATACCATTTTTTTCCTATTTTCTAAAAATAGAAAAATGCCAAAGGATAGGAGGTAAGAAACCTGCAGTCCTTGTAGGTGTCTACACGTCTCCTTGGCAATAACTGTTGGTGGATTTTCACAGGCAGTCTCCACACTATAGACAACCGCACACCTTATCTCCCCCAGATATCACATGTTCCGGCAGCCCTGGAAGTCTCCCAGCAACAGGCGGTGCACAACACAATTAACCTGCCCACGTGGCAGCACTGCGCCATCACTGAAGATTTACTCCTTCTTCATAATAAAACGTGGACATTTTAACTTACAGATTTATTGCTTAAGGTTTTCAGAAAAAAAACACCCACATGTTTTTAGCCAAAATTCTTTGGGTACAAATTTACCAAAACGGCCCTCTATATCTGTACAGATCAAAGTGGTGGAATGGCCGCCCTGAAACGGGATGGGAACCGGCATCCCCGCCAGGAGCAGCCCTGTGCTTCCCTGGGGGGCGAAGCGGCCAGACCCTCGCGGTTGTGCCCTTGAGAGACATCAGACCTAAATAAAGCACCCACGCTACCACAAACCAAACGAGGGACCCCCAGGGACCCCGTGCCCACGGAGGCATCCCTTGGGACGGGGAGCTGCCTCACCCCATCCCGGGTACCACAGGACACACATGGTGTGGATACTGGCACCAGGTCAGGGACTTCTCATCCTCACCCGACCCTCCCTGCACCTCTGTTTTGGAAAATAAAATAAACACAAGACTCTACTGACCAGACAAAAAAAAAAAAAAACCAAACCGTTTCTAGTTAATAACTTCGTTTTCGTCTTTGGTTGCATTTGGAAGAGCACAATTTAAAACAATTATCACAACCCAGCAAGAAATCCCTGGCCTGACTTCTACACCAACTTTGCCTGATGTGTATAATAATGTTTTGTTTGTTTTGTTTCTAGTTTTTCCAGATTTGCTCAAAATTATCCCTGCAAGTATCCATGTTAGTGTCATTCTCTTCTGTACAGTACTGATCATCTTTGCTCTGGTGGGAGCAGGTTTCTTCATGTTCAATGCTTTTGGCAGCCCTTACGAAACCCTGCACGGCCCCGTCGGGTTGTACCTCTGGAGCTTCATCGCCTGTAAGTACCGGCCGCCCTCGGCTACCGGGCTAACGCCTCACACGTTTGCTACTGGTGATGACCAATTTATCGGAGTAGGAGACTGCATTAAGGACCATGGCTGCACCGACCCTAAACTGGCAAAAGAAAGCTAGGCAGGAATGTGGAGGATTTTACTGTGTCAAAATGTGTTTTTTTCCAAATTGAAGTTGAGAGATAAAATGCCGCAATCCCCCGCGAGGGTGGGCGGTGGGATGGGTACAGGCGGCCCCGGCAGCTCCGGCCCTTCTGCGTAAACTGGCAGAAAAAGGGGATGGTGCCCTGGAGCCCGCGGGAACCCGGAGCCAGGGCCACGTCACGGACACACAGCGCACAGTCAGAACCAGGAGTCGCACCAGAGTGGGGAAAGGGGGAAAAAAACCATCCAACCAAAAGAAGTCAGCGGTGCAACTTCTCGTATTTGGCACGATAGGCGGCTTCCAGCCGTGTGCGCGAGATCCCCACTTACGCCAGCAAGACGTGCTGCGGGCAGGGAGGAACCGGGAGCAGAGGGAGAGACTGTCAGCATCGCGCTGCAGAGGCGGTCTCTGAGAGAACACTGCCAACAGGGACAACCGCCCAGACCTCTCCCTCTGCCTCTGCCTCTTGGAGAAGGGAAAGCCCCGTCTGTCTCTCTGGCTTGGCTGACAAGAAGATTTACCATTATTTTACGAGGTATTATGCATTACAATCATAATTTATTAAAAGACTTAAGTACATATTTATCTTTAAACATGCAGACAGTTCAGTTATGTTCCATGGGACAATGAGCAGCTTAAAGCTGAAAAAGAGCACAGACTCTTTGCTGGATGAGGGCGCTAAAGCAGCCGTGCTACATATTATGGGTCCTGAGCCAAATTCAAATAAAAAAGCGTACCGATTTCAATAGCCACGGGCTTGGGGTCTAAAAATAATCCCTGTTAAAGCTCAGTTACGGTGGCCATAATAACACTATCAATATGGCATTTGGTTGGGATGAATTTCACATGGGCTTACTGCAGGGATGGCCACGGTGATGAGCATCTCTCCTCTGTTTCAGGTTCCTGTGGCTGCCTCATCATGATCCTCTTCTCTTCAGAAGTGAAAATACACCACCTCTCAGAGAAAATTGCTAATTTCAAAGAGGGAAGTTTTACATTCAAGACTCACAGCGAACAGTTTGCGAATTCATTCTGGATCATCCTGGTTTGCTCCCTGGTGCACTTCCTGAACGCCTTGCTGATACGATTTGCTGGATTTGAATTTCCCTTTTCAAAATCAAAAGATTCTGGGACAACCACTGGAGCGGCTGACCTGATGTATTAGGATTACATAATTTAAGAACATTTCAAGCAAAGAGGTTCATCACTACTACATTCAACCACCACCAGATGTACTAACCTGTAAATTATTAGCTCTGAAGAAGTTTAAAAAAAGTGAAGGTTTCAAATCAACAACAATATGACATATGCAGTAAACAAAATAAGACATGCGATTTGGTAATGTCTAGATCAAAATATCCTCTTTCTTGGGGGAAGACTTTATGACAACATTTGCTTTTTTTTCCAGTAAGTTATTTGAAAAGTAGCTGGTATGAAGAAAACTAGGAATATCAATAGCATTGGACTGCCTCTGGGAAGTAGAATAAATGTGTTGCGATAGAGGCACACGCTATCACCAGCACCGATCGCCCCGGCGAGGGCGAGAGCGCGTCAGAGCAGCGGAGCACAAGGACGCCCAAAGCTACAGACATCAAACAAGAGAAAAGCAAACGTGGGGTCTTTGCCGGTACCCCGCTCCAGGCGCTGCCTCAGGAGCACAGTGCCGGGAAGGAGCACAGCACGAGAGCGGGTGCTTGCAGGACAAAACCCAGACCCCCGAACCCACCACTAACACTTTAGCCTAGCGTTACGTGCACAGCAATCACATCACTTCTGTCCGTAAAGCTCTCTTTTGGGTTTTTTTGTTTTAACAAGCCAAACTGTAACTCTTTGGCCCTGAAGTCCCTCATTCTGCCGTGCGGTCTCTGTAGCGGGGGCTTCGCGATGTCGGGTACGGAGCCGCACACAGCAGAGTGGGATGAAGAGATGCGACACACTCCCCCGGCTCGCCCGAGGGACGCAGCCTGGCTTGGCGCTGCCCGGCGGACCCTCTGCGGCACTCTCTTCCCCAGGGCAAAGCAACAGGAGTGAGACTGGGCACCCTTCGCAGCGCACTGCATCTCCAGGAGGAACCCTGCCCAGAAAACAACCCTGCGAACTCTCTCTCATCCAACACTACAACAAAGTCAAAACCTTTGGCAAAGGGCAGCAATGGAGTAACGCCACCGACCGGCTCACAGGGCGCGCTGCAGCTCAGCAGAGGCTGATGAAGAAATACATGAGGTTGTCTACCTCAAAGCACGTGGGAAGCCAGAACTGACGGGCACATCATCCCTCACACCCATAAACTTCTGCAAGTCCGTTAAAGGCACCGTCCGCCCCCCCCGGCACGGCCAGGGCAGCCCACCCGTGAGACCAGCATCGTGCCACCACCCGCGGGGGACTATGAGGGTACCTTGGAGGTGAGGCACTCCGTGCAGGCCAGGGAACTGATGCTCAGAGCAGCGAGGCGAGGAGGGGGCCGGGGGGAACGCTGCTGCCCAGCCGGCCCTTTATCTGCAGGGGCTGCAGCCCCCTCCCGCCCGGCCGGGGCCGTCCCCCAGCGCCCAGCCGCAGCTGCCCCCAAAACGGGCACGGGCGCCACCCAGGGCCACCTCTGGAAGCCGTCACCTGCTTCAGGCTCTACCGACTTGCCAGGTGACCTCACCGACTTTTACACCATTTTTTTTTATACTTTTACTACAAATGGCAAAACGTTGCTGGGGTTTTGTAAAAGGTTTGTCAGCGACACCCCTCCTCGGCAGACCCCGGCACCGAGCGGCTCTGCCTCCTCACGCTGTCCCGCAGCTCCCTGGACCTTAACAATGTGTAAGGGCTACGGCAAGTTGCCTTTTTTTCATCATTTTCTTCTTAATTAACACACAGATTATTCTTAACATTAATGGATCTTCTTAACACATAATTTGTATTGCATCTCACGGCATTGTTTACTAGACAGCAAATAATGAGGAGTAATGCTTCATCCTCCTCCTTCCTGATGTTCCGTGAAGCTGCTCGGCTTTGCAGCGCGGTGGCAGCTTTGGCGACGGGCAGTGTCCCAGGCGGGACGCACCCACGGTCCCGGGGGTGTCTGTCGGGGTGAGCCTTGCCAGCCCTGCAGAAGGAGCTGGCCCCTGTGTGTAAAACAGAGTTGCACAGCTCTGCCTCAGCACAGAGGATAAACCCGTCCCCATCCCCGTCCCCGTCCCCGTCCCTCCTGCAGCGCAGGAGAGAGCAGACCCTGACGCGGGGTCCTGGTGCTGTCACAGGGGGTCACCCCTCAAAGAGCCCGAACCCACCGCTCCCCCTCATCCCGCCCCGCTCACCAGCACGAGGTCAGCCGTCACTGTCATTCCTACCCGGTTCCTAAGGCAAACATAACAAATTCTTACTAGCAAAATAAAACTGAGGCAATATTGGTGTGTTTGAGCAGCTGAAAGTAACGGTCAGCGCAGGCGTGACCTGCTCGGCCGGTGCTCCCGGGGCAGCACCACACACCCCGCGGCTCGCTCGTAATCTGCGAGCGTCAGCTGAAGAGGCTTTGCCCCGTTTCGTTTCTAGACTAGTGTATTTCATGAGTTAAAAAACAACAAAAATTGTGTAGTGAGGAGAAATATATAAATATATTTTGGAGATTCTTGAAAAATCGTTTTTTTTCGTATCCCAATAAAAAGTTAGTAGGCAAGTGTGTCTGTATGTGAGCGTGCATACATATAAACACAAATATATACATGTGTATATATATATATATATAAGGGTGTGTACCAGGCTCAGACCACCGGCCCGCAATGCTGTCGCAGGGCCGAGCGGAGGAGCACTGTGTCGCGGATGTGGGGCTCACCGCGCTCTCCGGACCCTTCTCACACCCCATCGCTGTGCCTCCCTGCTCAGGGACCCCGGCGGTCACGCTGCCGGCTGAACAACAGACTTAGTCGACTCCCCTGCAACAGCACGAGCCATACGCCCACGCCGGCACCTGCAGAGGTGGTTCCATAGAGCGCAGCCAAGAAAAGGCAGATCTCAGCAGGGCCCCGCGCGCACAGCAGCTCTGGCACCGGCACAGCGGGAGCAATGCTAACGAGGCCGGACGCCCCGCAGCCCGCCCGGGGAGCGGAGGGCCGAGGGACGCCTGGCACGGGAGGGATGCTCAGCACTGGCTGCGGCTGCGGAAATGCCAGCGCCACCACCCCAGCCAGGAGCCTTTCCTCTCGGAGTTACTGCAGAGCTGAGATTGTGCTGGGGAAGAAGATAATTAAGCTTCGCAGCCTCCCCTCCGACACCTCAAAGCATTTCCTCACATCACGGAGGAGGCGGGAGAGGTCTGCGCCAAAGCCTGTTGATGCAGGGAGGTTTCTCCCTTCGGGCCAATATTCCCTTGTCCCTCC